GGCAGTAAGTCCGTCATGCATTTTTGCAGTTAGGGAAACTGCATAAAAGATGTGTGTGTGTGTGTGTGTGTGTGTGTGTGTGTGTGTGTGTGTGTGGTGGAGACCCCACACTCCTTTAGGCTCTGGTCTATGCCAGGATGTGTACATACCGGAGGCTCGTGGTCCCCACGGGCCATGGGGTTTGTCTGGAGGATTTGTGACACTCAGAAATGTGACAGACACTCGGACACTCAGAGGACATGGTGACGTTGCCTTCTCAGTCCCAGGCAGCATCTGCCTGTGGGGTCCCAGCAGCTTGGAGGACGCCGGGTGATGTGGCCCGGGCCTGCAGCCTGCCCCTCCTCCTAGGGCTATAGAGCCTGAGCCTGGGCTCCGGGCTGTGGGGTCCCCAAGGTCAGGGGAGGCGAGGATAGGGAAGATGAAGCCAAGAGGAAGAGGGAGTGGGTAGGGAGAGATGGAGAGAGAGAGAGACCCAGAAGGCTGGAGAGAAGGTGTTGAGAAGAGAGGAGAGGAAAAGAGACCCAGATCTAAAAGAGGGAGCTGGAGACAAAGGTGGCGAGGGGAGACAGACAGACAGACACACACAAACAGAGAGAGAGAGAGAGAGAGAGGAGAGAAATAAAGACAGACATGGCAGATAGAGACAGACAAAGATGAACAGAAGAAAGAGAAAATCAAGAAGACAGAGAGGGACCCAAGGTAAATGGGCCCAGATGCAGAGAAAGACAGGCTTTGTGCACTGCCAGCCTCACCAGGTACAGGGGGAAGGAAAGGCATGGGCCAGGAGCGGCAGAGGCCCTCATCCTGAGAGTGGAGGGGCCCTTGAGTGTTGTCCATTCCCTCACCCATCCATTCATCCCCTCTCTTCTCCCTCTCCAGCCCCACCCCCCATTCATCTACCCACTCAATCACTCACCCACCAGCCACCCCCTCTTTGGACTTGGCCCTTGATCAGCAAGCTGGGGCCCACGCGAGGAAAGGACCTGCCCCCAGCTCTCCAGAAATGCTGAAGGGCTTAAACAGATCAGCAGGAGGTGGCAGTGGATCAGCTCACGCCTAACCCTGTGCCCCGGCCCCGGCCACCCCCCCACCTGGAGGCTGCCCCACTGAGTTAGAAACA